GAGAGTACACAGGGCCAGCTGGCCATGGAGTGGGGAGGCGGGGTAGAGGCAGGAGCCCCCCAGGACACTGAGACCCCTCTTCCTCCTGCAGGACCTCCTGCAGTGATGGTACAGGTGGAGTGGGAAGGCATGTCATCCAGGGAGGGGACCAGAGCGCCCCCTGGCACACAGCCCATCAGCCCTGCCTGGGTGTGTCATCCTGTTGGCCACCAGAACACCCATGACAGGTCCTGTCCACCCCATCTTGGGTCCCTGGAGCCCAGAGGGAGCACTGGGGACCAGGCACCTGCCTGGCGACCCCCATCTACACATCCCCACAAGTGCCAGGCAGAAGTCGGCCCCAAGATCAGTAGGATGTGAGTGTGGCCTCCACCCCGTCTGGCCGCCTTTGAGGACCTGTTTGCAGCCTTACTGGGCATGATTTCTTCATTTCTAAGTCCCTCGCCTTGCTTCCCACTCTGGGGGCAGGACTGTAGACTCGGGGGACCTGTGGGTGGCCAGCCTGCCTCAGGCTCCCTCTTCTCCTGCTCCCAGTCCTGTGTGGGAGCTGGTCCCCCAGCTGGTCCCAAGCCTGAGAACCCAGTGTCCCGCCTCATGAGGCCCTGACTGGCTGCTTTGCAGTCTCACAGTGCTTACTCTGTCCAGCAGGGCCACAGAGGGACAGACAGGAGCTAGGGGGTCTCCTTGGCCACACCAAGCAAGGCGCTGCTGTCTAGCTGAGTGCCACCTTAACCTGGCACTCAGCCACTTCCGGTGCTGAGGGGACAGGGCATGGCCATGCCCCCAGAGTCACACTGGTAGCCTTGAGTCTCAGCCCAAGCCTGGAGCAGACCCGGTGGTGACAATGTCGAGGTGATCCCTGTGCACGTAAAAGTGCTGCCTGTGCCCTGCGGGGTGTGGGGCGCTCTGTGGGACCCGGCTCTGAGCCAGAAGCCCAGGGATTTCACTCCCTTTGCATACCACTGACGCTGAAAGAGAACTTTTCATTTGCCCTCCCTATTTCAAGTCAAGTTCTGTGGCCTCAGAAATTTATTTTTAAATCATCAGCCGATGATGGAACTGGAACAGCAGGGGCTTCTTTGGGCCGGTCCTAGAAAAGCCAGCATTTTCATGTGCTGCCCTGGAGGCTCTTCAGACAGGGTCCTGGGCCCCGGGGAGTGCGTCCTGCACCCGTAAATACCCACAAGGCCCATTGGCCAGGAGCTGGGGAGGCCGGACAGGTTCCACCGGTGACATTTAGTGAGCACTTCCGGAGAGGGCTGGGGAGGGACATTTGGTGTGCCTTGACATTGTGTCCTCAGCCCCACAGTTCTCTTGCTGAGATTCCGTTTGTCTGCTAAACACGCAGTCCTAAAAATAGCTGCCGAGGCCTGGCATCGCCGTGATGAAGGGCACCTGCCCCGGCTCCTTGGCTTGCCGGCACCCTCAGAATGTCACACAGAAATGGCTTCGCTGGGCCTCAGCACAGTGCACAGACCTGCACCCCAGCTGGGGCAGTGCCGGGTGCAACTTCATACTGGCGCCTGCCTGGTGATGCACACTTGTGATTCTACTGCTGAGGAGGCTGAGGCAGGAGGACTGCCATGAGTTCAAGACTGGCCTGAACTGCAGAGTGAGGCTCTGTCTCCAAAAAAAGGACCACCTAATGCAGCTGCTACTGTGGCATCTGTCCAGGGAGTCACAGCCAAGCCAGGCCGTCCTGAGAGCGGAGGTGGTGCCCTTGCTGGTGCCTGTGTGCCAGCAGGCATACACCAGGAGCATCCCCCTGGGCCCAGTCCTTAAGTTGCTCAGGATGGAGGTCCAAGGTGCCACTTCCTGAGCATCCATGTGGCCCAGGCTGGGTGATGGGGGTTCCTTCCTGAAAAGTAACCCCTGATGGTGCTGGCGTAGGGCAGAGACAGAGTGGAGTAAATGTGGGGTCGGTCTGTCCTCCCTCCACACGCCATCAAGAACCCAGCCTGCCTGCCTGTCTGTCCCCCCTCCCCCGTTTGCTGAGACCATGCCTTGCCATGTAGTTTACACTGGTCTTGATCTTACGGTGTAGCCCAGGCTGGTCTCAAACTCATGTCAATCTTCCTGCCTCAGCCTCCCAACCACTGGAATTACAGGCATGGGCACCTGGTTTCAGTGCAGTTTCAACAGCGATGCACTATGGGAGGGACGCTGGGTGTAGAATTCCGCCCATCTCTGCTGAGCAGAGGGGCCGCAGGTTGGGGCAGCTGGGTGGAGCCACACCTCACCAGCCTTTCTCTGTGTGGTCCACAGCCCGAGACTGAAGATGAGAAGAGGCGCTTCGAGGAAGGCAAGGGGCGATACCTGCAGATGAAGGCCAAGCGGCAGGGCCAGGCGGAGCCTCAGCCCTAGACACCTCCTCAGGGCCCGAGCAGCTGCAGCAACAGCCCCGTGTCGTTAGTCACCCCCTTTGCCAAAACCCCACTGCCCACTTCGAGCTGCTGTCGTGTGAAGTACCCGTGTGACAGTGTTACCTTCGCCTTGTCCCGAACACCTGTGCACCAAAGCTTTATTTATACCCTTCCAGTATACACGCTGTGCAGTATTGTCCCGCACTAGCGGCGACCTGGGGCCCCGTGTAAGGTGTGTCACGAGTCCAGCCCACTAATAAAGCTGCCGTTCAGCTGGACCTGTGAAGACTGGGTGTGCTTTGTCTGCGGGGTCTGCTCCCCACGGGGCATTTGGGCACCCATGGGCAGCCTCAGTGCCCTGTCCCTGCCCCCTGGGCACACAGCGCTGGTTCCAGTGAGGTGATGACCTGCTAGCTGCAGAGGATGCTTCATCCTGTGAGGCCCTGCGGGTCCCTGACCACTTCCTGCACCTCGGAGGCAGCTGACATCTGGGACATTGAGGGAACTCGGGGCCATGGGGCACTTAGGACCCTGCTTCCCTGCATCCCTAAACCCTGCCTGAGGACCAGGGAGGTGACAGGAAAAGACCCTATGCCACCAGGTACAGGTCATGGTTGGTGTGGGGAACTGCTCTGCATGGGCCTGGACCCCTGCATCTGACACCTAGCTCCTCACACTTTTGGCAGGTCTGAGGGGCACTGTAGGTGTCTGGGGTCACCGGGAGGCTGTCACTGTTTGCATGGTGTGAGCTGTGTGGTGTTTCTGCCTACATGCACGGGTACGATGCGAGGCCACACACTGGAATCCTATAGCTGCGTCCAGCAGTGAGTGTGCGTGTGTGAGTCCAAACCAGCAGTTTCCAGACAGACAAGGTGCCAAGACCTCTGCAGCGGCCAGTATCCCACCCCACCCAGAAGTGGTACCTCAGCAGTCCTTGAGGCCTGCATATCTGCCCCTCGGCCTGCAACAAAACAGCCTGCCAACAGCTGCGGCCTCACGCAAGGCTCTCTCGGGCCCCTGGAAAGAGCACTGTGCTCCAGATGTACACAAACACCCGCCAAGAGCTTTGGAATCTGGCTGGGGTCCTGTCCCTGCCAATGGAGTTATTTCCTGCTGGGGGGAGAGGGGGTGGTGGTGATGGTGGGATGGGACAAACTTGGCCACATGAAGACACAGCCCTCAGCTCCCAGGCTCCCTCAGGCAGCCTGAGCATCATCCTGGCAGGGCCACAAAGTATCCATAGCCTTCCTAAGTCCTGACATCTGACACCCTCCTTTGGTCTTGCTTGGTCACTCATCCGTGTGGCTCTAGGTGAGCCAGATACCTAAAACCCAGGGCACAGACGCATAGTACCCTCAGCATCAGGCACACAGCAACACACCACCAGGTAAGCCATGGCCTGGCAGACCTCTGAGGCCCCTCCACCACGTAACCCCAGGACCCCTGAGAAGACACAGGGCACCAACAAGTCAGGTCTGGGAGCTGAGCAGGCTGACCGCAGGGAGAGGGCACCAGCTTTCCTCCCATGATGGGGCCCTCCTCACATGGGACAGTCTGCCTTAGACCTGCCACATGGGCTGGAGTATGGCTCGGACAGCACACCGGCCAGCACAAAAAAGAGGAAATGCCACATCTGATTACACCTCTATGCACCTCCTCTGCTGCCACCTGTCCCTAACCAGGCCTGCCTGCTGGGGAGCTGGCCTGTCCACTGAAGCTCTCTGCTGCCCCAGGAGCAATGTGGCTGGTAGGAGAGGCCCTGCCCATCCCTGGCGCTGGGTGTTACAGAAGAATATTCTCTCCAAACCATTCCTTTCTTCTCCTGAGCCCCACCTTCAGGCCGACCCTAAATCCCCTAAAGATGCTCAGGGGTGGGGGTGGGGGTGGGGGAGAGGCCAGGTGGGTGCAGAAGCCAAGCTGTTGAGTTCTGGGTAGCCCTGCTGAGCAGGCAAGCACCAGGCAGCAGCTTGGGCTGCTGATTTGGGTCCCATCCTGGCCAGGCGCCTGCTTTCCTGCAGACAAGGCTGCCAGACCAGAGAGGCTTCCCCGTGCCCAGAAAAGACACTGTGTGCCTCAAAACCCTGAGTGGCCCCGGGGTGTTGCCCATGGATGTGCGTGGTCAGCGGCAGGTCAGGACCAGTTGAAGTGAGGAGGTTCCAGAGGGCACCAGGTTCTGGCCCCTCCCAGCAGCAAGACTAGGGGAGTCAGAGGACATTTCTTAGCACATGAGGGAGGGGCAGCCACTTGGCATTCCTGTGGGTTCCAAGGCCCAGGACGCCCTGGAGATGACCCCATTAGCCCGACTTTGCCCCTTGTTGCACCGGCGCCTCACCGAGCAACTCCCACAGCTCACTGCAGAAATGGCTCCTTCGGGGACCCCATCTCTACGCGCCCCCTACTTCGGAGTCGGTCTTCTCAGATGGCTTGGAGACTTGGGGAGCATGGATCGACCTACGGGCTGCAGGCGCCACCGCCCCGAGGTTGCACCCCGCCGCGGGCTGGGGGCGGGGCGGGACAGCGCGGACAGCCGGGTGGACTGCTGCGGGCCCGCTCCGAATGCGCGGGGGCGGGGCGCGGGGCGGCGCGGAGCGCGGGAGACATGCGCCCTGGCCCCCCGCCCCCGGCCGCCCGCGCAGCCGGCTCAGCGCAGCGCAGCGCCGCGGGAGGGAGGGGCGCGGGCCGAGCGGGGAGAGGGCCCCGCGCTCTGGCCCTTGGCGGGCGCAGCGGGGATGCCCCAGCCGCCCCCGCGCCTGCCGGCCCGCCCGCCACGCCCACGGCCTCTGGCACCCGGCGCTCGGCTTGGGGTCGCGGGAACTGCAGCTGGAGGCGGGAGCAGCGAGCTAGCGCCCCGGGCGCCCGAATGCAGGGTGAGCGCGGCCGGCCTGACCCGGGCGGTGGGCGGGGGATCCGGGCGGGGAATCCGGGAGTGGGGGCGCCGCGTGGACGCGTGGTGCGGGCCGCTGAGGCTTGGACACCCCCTCCCCGCCCAACTTGGGGACCTTCGGGGCAACTTCCCCGGAGCTGGCGCCTCGCGGGGTTCCCCGCAGCAGGGACTCATAGGGGTGTGGGAGGGCGGCAGCCTCGCGGTTCTGAGCGCACCCCTGCCCGGCGCAGTCCTGCGGATGCCCGGGACGCGACCCCACGATTCGGCCGCCCGGACGCGCCCTCGGGTTGGGTGAAACGCTGGGACCCGCAGGAGACGGGTAGACGGGGTGCGTCTCTTGGGGTGGGGGCGCCAGGGCGGACGGGCAGGCGGTGTGCGACTCTTAGGGTGGGGGCGCCAGGGTGGCTAAGTGGTGTAGGGGGCGCGGCCAGACTCGACCGGGAAGACAGTGGCGCAGCGCGGGCGGGAGCAGCGCGGGGGCGCTCGCTGGGGCGCAGCCTGAGCCCGGGGAATCCTTTCAAGTTCTGGGTCTCCTTTGTTGTGCAATGGAGCCTCGGAGGAGCACGGCCTCATTGGCCCCGGGCCATGACGTCACGGTCTAGCCCGCCCGCAGCCCCTTTGAGGGGGTCGTGGGTGCTGGGGTGTCCTGGGCCGGTCTTACTGAGGACCCCTCGGTGGGACGGGCGTGCATCGCGTACTTGGTCGGCCGGGAGGTGGGGCCCTAGTCCTGGAAATACTTCCTGGATGCTGGGAGGCAGCGCAATGAGGGGAGGTGCTGGCCGGCCCCGAGCCCACTCACTGACTGCTGGCCTCCAAGAACTGGAACCGGCAGGCGTTTGAAGGTGCATCCACCGTACCAGCCTGGAGGCAGAGGGACACGCTGTTCCCACAGCGAGTTCCTGTCACCTTGCACCTGGAGACCTGGCACGGACCCCATTCCAGACCACAGTGTGGGGAGAACTGGGCCCTGCTGAGCCTCAGAGAGCAGGCTCTGCCCAGCAGGCACGAGGCTCAGGGAGACCCCTCACTTCTAAGAAGGGAAAATGTTTTGTTTTGGAGTTGGAGAGGCCAAAAGGCAGGTGTTAGACCAGCAGAAACCTGGATCCTGGTTGAGGCACGTCATGGTGCGTGCAAAGGTTTTACCTCTGGATCACCCTTTAAAGTAGGTGTGGGGCCAGGCATGGTGGGCGCAGGCCTCTAATCCTGGGACTTGGGAGGCTGAGGCAGCGGGACTGCTACCAGTCCAAGGCTAGCTTTGGACCCTGTTTCAAATAAGTAAGTAAATAAATAAATGTTAAATAAATAAAATAGGCACAGTAGGAGAATCTATCACACGACTTTCCCAGAGACACAGATGCAGAATGTGCCTGTTTGCAGGAACTTGGTTCCTCCATCTCCCTGTCCTGCAGCGAGGCTGCACTGGACCAGACCAGGGAAGGAGCTGACACTGGGCTGTGTTGGGCTGGGGGAAGTCCATGGTGCCTTCCTACCACCCTGCACCACTGCTGAACACAGCACTAGGTGGGCCAGCCCAGGCCAAGGTCACAGGAGTAGGCAGAGCCCCCGTGGGCATCTGAGGAGAGGCCTTCTGCACTGATGCCCATCCCCAGGCGCACACTGGGTCCAGTTTCCTGTTTGCTACCATGGAGGTCACCCTGAATCCTTCTCTGGGTCAGGACACTGGATGGAGGTCCCTGAGTGTCCCAAGGGCATGGGCAGAGGAAAAGAACTCCAGATAAGATGATCAGGGACTGTCTCACAGATGGTGGCCGGTGTCCCTGTCCCTACCCAAGAGAAGATTTACTCTGTTCCCAGCTGGAGCCACCACAACCTGGGGGTCCCTGGGACTGTGCCTGGTGGTGGGCACCCGAGAGCATGGGGTGCACAGGGAGGGCATCTGTGAGATGAGGCAGGATGAGAGGGGCCAAGTACCTGTCACCAGCGCAGCAGTGGGCCTCACTTAACCTTGTCCCCATGCCACCTGCTGTAGCTTGTGTCCTACAAGGGGCTGCCAGTCTGGAAGAGTAGGAAGGGAAGGGCCAGCCGCCAGCAGAGTGGACACCTTCCCCATCGTGGGCCCCTGCCCAGCCATCTGTGTCCCCAGCTCACATCTGAAGGCATTGGCTTCTCCTGGGGGTGGGTCAAGCTCTGGGCTCCAGGCTGTCCTGGCCTATGCTGCCTGGGCCACCCATGACATGTCCTAACTTTAGAAATGTGGGTTCTGCCCACCTAGCTCCCTGTAGCTGCAGCATGACAGTCCTGTTACAGAGGAAGACACAGTGACTGTGCCAGGACCTGGCTGGAGCTTTCACCCCAGTCTGTGGCTGAGCCTGGGCCGTGTGGGGACCTGGCTGGGGAAGGCCAACTGGGGTCTGAACAGAGGGACATAAGGGTGGCAATCTGGAGCAGGAAAGGGAGGTTTGGGGACTTCATTCTCCGAGGTCTGGCCTTGTCTGGCCAAATGAGGCAGGCTAAGTGAAGGTGAAAATCCCTGCGGCATCCACGGGAGAGGCCTGGTGTGGACTTTGTGAGGACTCTGGAATATCTGATCTCCTGAGGCTTTGTCTGGGAACAGGGCCAGGGCGCATGTGAGGCAGAAGAGTCCATCTGGCCAGCCACACACCTGTAGTGCATCTGTCTGGGAGACTGAGACAGGAGGACTGTAAGTTCAGGCCCGAGTAGGCAACTTAGTGAGACCCTATCTTGAAGTAAAAGCTAAGAGGGGCTGGGGTGCACCTAAGGTAGGGTGCTTGCCGAGGTGCGCGAGGCCCTGGGTTCATTCATCGTCGGTATTACAGAAAAACAAAACACAAAAATCCCACAAGAGATCCACTGGGGGCTGGGCCTGCCTGGCGTGAGGGTGCAGGTGGGGAGAAGAAAGCTTGGATCAGGGGCGCCCCAACAAAGAGTCCTCTGAGTGCTAAGGTCGTGGACAGGAGGCCCCTTGGGTAGGTGGGGGACAGCAGGACCACAGGAAGTGGTGCACTGGGGCCTCCTCGCCTCACACCCCAGCAGCCCGAGCTTCCGGAGCTGTATTCAGGGGGACTCACTGAGTACTCACGACCTCCTCCCCAGCTGCCTGTGGTCCCTGGTGTCCCCGAACTGCCACCTCCAAAGGCTGCTGCTCTGTGACGAGGCGCGGCCCTGAGGAGGATGCCCCGGCCACCCACCCGCTCCTGTTGGCACCATGGGTGACGAGAGGCGGCTGCCTGGCAGCGCTGTGGGCTGGCTGGCGTGCGGGGGCGTCTCCCTGCTGGCCAACGCCTGGGGCATCCTCAGCGTGGGTGCCAAGCAGAAGAAGTGGAAGCCCCTGGAGTTCCTGCTGTGTACGCTCGCAGCCACCCACATGCTCAACGTGGCGGTGCCCATCGCCACCTACGCTGTGGTGCAGCTGCGGCGGCAACGTCCCGACTACGAGTGGAACGAGGGCCTCTGCAAGGTCTTCGTGTCCACCTTCTACACCCTCACCCTGGCCACCTGCTTCTCGGTCACCTCCCTCTCCTACCATCGCATGTGGATGGTCCGCTGGCCTGTCAACTACCGGTGAGTGCGTGCGGGAGGGCTGCTGGGGTGTGGCAGGAAGTCCCACCCAGTGCACGCCTGGCAGACCCTGTGGTTAGGCCACACCTGTGCCATCCATGCAGGGGTGGGCAGGGAGGCTTAGGAAGGGTGGTGCTGGGCTGCTGCACATAGAAGTGTGCAGGAATACACATAGATGTCCAGTGCAGAAGTGCCCGAGCTGGGCTTGGTGGGGCCCACCTGTAATCCCAGCACTCAGGAGGCCAAAGCAGGAAGTGAGACCCTGTCTCAACCACCCCCGTGCAGTGCCTGGTGGAAGGGCCAAGGGACAGTCTGCACGAACGTTTAAAAAGGACAAGGCCCTGCCACGCTGGCTGTGCCAGGGCTGTGGCGTTGGGGTGGCAGGGAGGAGCCCTCTGCAGATCTGAAGAGGCTTGGGCCAACGGCCTAAGTGACACTGGGCTCCTCTGTCCTGCCCCATGCCAGGCTGAGCAACGCCAAGAAGCAGGCAGTGCACACGGTCATGGGCATCTGGATGGTGTCCTTCATCCTGTCAGCCCTGCCCGCCGTCGGCTGGCATGACACCAGCGAGCGCTTCTACACCCATGGCTGCCGTTTCATTGTGGCTGAGATCGGCCTGGGCTTTGGGGTCTGCTTCCTGCTGCTGGTGGGCGGCAGCGTGGCCATGGGCGTGGTGTGCACGGCCATTGCCCTCTTCCAGACGCTGGCCGTGCAGGGTGGGCACCAAGCCGACCGCCACACCTTCACTGTGCCCACTATTGTGGTGGAGGACGCCCAGGGCAAGCGCCGCTCCTCCATCGATGGCTCGGAGTCGGCCAAGACCTCGCTGCAGATCACGGGCCTGGTGGCCACCATCGTGGTCATCTATGACTGCTTCATGGGCTTCCCTGTGCTGGTGGGTGAGGGTGTCAGATGGGGACCTGGGGGAGGGCTCTGGGACAGCCTGGGGGCTGGGTGTTGGGCAGTGGCCTCAGAGCCTTTTCTCTGAGATACACAGTAAACCCACATTTTACACAGCTGGAGAGTGAGGCCCAGAGAGGTCTGTGGCATGCCTAAAGTCAAGCCAGCTGACCTGGTCCCCTTCCTCGTCCCTTAAAACACCATACCCCACACCTGTAACCTAAAGCTGTTTCAGCTCAGTGTGCGGAAATTTCACACTCCAGGGGGCCAGGGCAGGGCAGCACAGCAGAGGGGTGTGGGGGAAGGAAGCTGCTCGTGGCGTGGTGGACAGGAAGCAGACAGCAGCAGAAGTAGCAGAGAAGTGACTGGAACCCTCCCAGGCCACCCCCAGGGACTTACTTCTCTCCTCCCAGCAGCCCCTACCATCCACCAGCCAGCTGTCCTGCCTGTCACCTTCCAAATCCCCACCTAGGAGTGCATGAGACCCTCAGGGATTTCTAGCTGGAAACCCGAACAGCGCCCATGGTGGGCGGTGACAGCACATCAGCATCTGGCTGTCTTCCTGCCAGCTGCAGTGGCACTTTCTCCCCTCCCTGGGAGACAGGGTCCTGTGTCCTTTGCCCAAGAAGTGTGGGTGGGCAGGAGGGTGCTGAGTGGGGACAGGGCAAGTCTTGAACACCTTGGAAGTTACTTTCGTTTTTTGTACTGGGGGTCAAACTCAGGACCTTGCACTTGCCAGGCAGGTGCTTATGCCGCTGAACTAAATCCCCAGCCCCCCAGTCTAAGTCTTAAAAGCTGGGACTGTCAAGGGCAGTGGGACTGGCTGGGGTCCTCTGTGTGCAGGCAGCACTGTGCTGACCCCAGCAGGAAATCTGGGCTTAGTAGCTCAGCCCTGGCCAGGCCCAGCTCCACAGCATTTTTCTAAGCAGCAGGGAAGGCCAAGAAAGGCGCTGGCAGGGGGAGGTGGCAGTGTCACAGCTGGGCCATTGTGGACCCCCAGCTACAGGGTCCTTTTATGTCCAGTGGGGCCTGGCATTTCTTGTGCCAGTGCTGATAGAGGAAAGGGGCTGGGGCTACCCCAGTTTCTCTCCTGAGCAGGAAACGGGGTGGCCCGGTGGAGCCCACTCCCTTGTCTCTGGCTGTTACAGACAGGTCTGCCCCATAGGGCACCCCGTTGGACCCTCTGTCCTGGGAATCTCCTGTGGGGTCTAAGCCCTGGCCCCTCTGAAGAGGCCAAGGCTGAGGTTCCTGACCCAGGAGGTGCTGGGTGTCAGCAGGAAGTGTGGCCCTGAGGCCTGGTCCTCCAGGCCTGTCCTCACCCAGTTCTCCCCACAGGGAGTCCCAAGGACAGCAGCACGGAAGGTAGCATGGCTGGGCAGTACTTGGGAGGGAAGGACCCATCCCTGCATACAAGGACCTGGGTCTCTGTCCTCGGTGGCCACCTGCTCTGCCCAGTGGGCCGTGCACATGCCCTGTAGACAGGCAGCTGAGTCCTGCCAGCCAGGCCGTGCTCTGTGCCCGCAGGTGGTGAGCTTCAGCAGCCTGCGGGCCGATGCCTCGGCTCCCTGGATGGTGCTCTGTGTGCTGTGGTGCTCCGTGACCCAGGCCCTGCTGCTCCCTGTGTTCCTCTGGGCCTGTGACCGCTACCGGGCTGACCTCAAGGCTGTCTGGGAGAAGTGCATGGCCCTCATGGCCAACGACGAGGACTCCGATGATGGTGAGGAGGGCCCGAGGCTGGCCTCTGGGAACAGTGGCATCTGGGTGAGGTCCAGAGACCACCCCATTGCAGTCAGGTGACCCCATTCTCAAAGGCTAAAACACTCCTCACATCCTAGCCAACCTGGATGTCCCATGGGTATCTCCTGTCCTGCCCAGCTGCCCTGGGGGGCATCCAGTTGGCCTAGTGTCAGTTTGGCTGTGAGCACCAGACTCATGGGGTCCACTGGGCTTCAGGTTCACCCTGACCCCTGACCTCAGAGGTCCACAGTGGAATGCCACATGGGTTTGGGCATGTTGTTTCGTTATGTGCCAAGCACTCTCAGCCCCTAGGTGTATATTCAGTCTCAGGACCTTGAGGTCCCACCCATATCCCAGATGAAAGTATGTTCCAGACTTGATGGGCATGGTGGCACATTCCTTTAATCCCGGCACAAGGGACCCTGAGGTCCCTTAGTGAATGCAAAGCCAGCCTGATAAGAGCAGTATCCTGGCCTGAGTCACCCTTTTCAGCTAACCAGGCCCACCTATCCTGCTTGTCACCCAGATGCCCCTGCCTGAGGTGCATCTGTGGGGAGTACCTCCTGCCTGCTCCTAAATCCCATGGCTCTACGCCTCTGTCTTCCTGCAGAGACCAGCCTGGAGGGTGGTATCCCTCGGGACCTGGTGATGGAGCGCCCTCTGGACTACCGATATGGAGGTGACTTTGTGGCCCTGGATAGGATGACCAAATACGAGCTCTCTGCCCTGGAGGGGGGTCTGCCCCACCTCTACCCACTGCGGCCCCTACAGGACAAGATGCAGTACCTGCAGGTAGGGGCAGGGCAGGGCAGGGTGTGGCTATGCATGTGGGGGTGGCCTTGGGCAGCTTCACAGGATGATGCACCCCCTCTGGGCTGCTGGAAGTCACGGGGGTGGGGGTGGGGATGGGGCTTCCCTTAGTTCCCGGTGCCCAGGAAGAGTGGTGTCCGTGCAGTGTCTGGTGTTTCCTTCCACCTTTATACCCTAAGGAGTTTTTTCCCCAAAATCCATTCAAGTTTCAAACAATGGAGGCTCAGAAATACTGTATGTTACACAGCTTTCCCAACCTTGACACCACAGCTAAAACAAGTAGAGGTTTAATTTGACCCACAGTTTCAGGGGTTCAGTCCATGGTTTGGCGCCTCTAAGGTGGGAGCAACATAGTGGACCAAAGGTGCTCCATTTATGGCGGCCAGAAAGCAGAGCAGGGAAGCAGTGCCCAAGGGAGGAGCTAGGGACCAGCAGTGGTACCCACGGTCACGCCTGCATGGCCCACCAGGCACATGCAGAAGTGTGCTTCACTGATTCCTCTGTCCCTTTCTCAAGCCGATCACTGACCCCACCAAGGTTAACCCTGACAACGGTTGTCACCTGCCCCACGTCTCACAGCTCCAAGCAGGCTGCGCCGGCCCCCGACCCGCAGACCACCCCGGCCTCTCCGCAGCGCAGCCCCGGCTAAAGTCCACCGCGTCCTCTCAGGTCCCGCCCACGCGGCGCTCCTCGCACGACGACGCGGATGCGTGGGCTCTGCCACCGCCGCGCTGGGGCTCCGGCGAGGACCTGGCGGCGCTGGCGCAGCTCGCGCTGCCCCCAGGGCGCCGCGGCAGCCTGCGGGCCTTAGCCGAGGACGCGCCCCCGTTCCGCGCGCGCCGCCGCTCGGCCGAGAGCCTGCTGTCGCTGCCAGCCCCGGACGGCCCCCCGCGCCACGCCGGCGACTCGCCCCCCGGCCCTTCTCGCCGCCGCCCCTCGGGCCCCGGCGCGCGCTCCGCCTCGGCCTCGCTGCTGCCGGACGCCTTCGCGCTCACCGCCTTCGAGCGCGAGCCGCACGTCCTGCGCCGCCCGCCCTCTGCGGCGTCGCCCGGCCACGCCCCCTCCTTCCCGGCGCGCGCCTCACCCGGCCACGCCTCCACGCCCCCCGGCGGCCACGGCGCACAGCGCAGCCCCGGCCCGTCGCGCCAATGCGCGCGTGCGCACTTTGGCCCGCTGCAGACAGGTCTGAGCGTGTCGTGGGGCGAACCCGGAGGCCTGCATGAAGCGATCGTCGGCGGCAGCACCAGCAGCTTCCTGAGCTCACCCTCCGAGTCCTCGGGCTACGTCACGCTGCACTCGGACTCACTGGGGTCTGCGTCGTAGGGCGCAGACACCAGACTGCCCTGTACAGGGTGCACAGCATCACGGAGGCCGCCTCTGCCCCACTCACCACGTGCAGTGAGGTTCTTCTCGGCCCAGGGGTAAGGAAGCGGGGGCCTCGGCGCTCAGTTTTGGTTCCTCCTGCTACTGTTTCCTAGAGGGATGGCGCCGGCCCTAGAGGACCACCCTAGGCCTGGACCAGCTGTCACAGAGTCTCCTAGGCAGAGGGAAGCTGGCCTTGGTACTGAGTGGCCTCTGCACACAGGCTGCGCGCTCCGCAGCTGGGCTCAGATGCAGCAGAGCCCGGGACAGGGCCACCATCAGAACAAATCCACCTGCAGCCAGAAGCCGCTAGACTACAGCCACTTTCCTCTGCAACTGTCATACCCAGGGACCTGGGGTGCAGAGTCTCTTTTAAGCACAGGGTCTTCTGAACCCAAACATACTCTCCGAGCAGGTCTTCAGGGCTGTGACCTGTTCTGCCTCAGTTTCCCTATTTGATGAGCAGGTGACCATGTTATCTCAGGGCTGTTGGAAGAAACCTCCCAGTCCGTGTGCTCTGGCCACTGAGTGGACCAGGTGTCAGAGTTACTCTACGACTCTTTTGGGGTCCTTTGTGAAGGTTAGTCTTCAGCATGTGGTCCCTTCTCAGTGTCCCCTGACCCCCTAGGGACTCACACTCTACCCCAGCTTAGCACAACACGTTTGCACCATCATCACCCTGACCATTTTTAGTGACTCCAGGTTTACTGCCCACCATCGATGCCTGTCCTTGACACAGTGGCCACCTTTGTGACTCCAACCACGAAGGCTGTGGGTCCACAGTGCAGAGGATCAGGGCAAAGGGGGAGTGGGCTTCATTACATCTTCCCTACCCCCACCACGCAGTCCTGGCCCCTGTTAAGGGCCACCTGTCACCCAAACAGGACTGCCCTTTGCTGTTCCTCTTGGGCAGATCTCTTGCAGGCCTAGGCTCTGCCATGGCCCTGGGTCTTTCCAGGCAAAGGAGAGGCCAGGAATAGCTGTAATCTCGAGATGGAGAAGCCCCACAGACACCACGCAGTGGCCCCTTGATGTGAAGAGCTGGAGCCAGTGTCGAGTGCAGCTCAGAGCCATCCTGCATTCCTTTTCCTCCGCCCTCCATGTCTAGGTCTATTGCCTTGCCCTCCAGATGATGTTCCAGTTCCAGAGAAAGCCCCACAACTGTAGGCTTCTGTGGGGAAGGGGGGAGGGGCTGAGCTGGTCATGGGCAAACAGGCAGGGAACTGCGGTCCACCCCAGCATGGGAGGGGCTGCCTCTGGCCAGTGCTGCTGTGCCTTGACAGGTGTAGAGGCCACCAGCTGGCCACTGTCTCCGCTCTCAAACTGAGTTTTCACCTTGTGTATTTCATGCCCAAGGCAATACTTGCAGGAAGAACACCCCATCCCCCCAAACCACTCCAGCCCTGGTTTTTACAAGATTAAGGGGGAGAACCAGAGTCTCTCCCACTCTTCACCAAGTCTCCAGGCCTGTTTTTAAGGAGCTTAGCTGTGGACTTCCTGGGCCGAAGTTTGGTCTGCACCCCACGCCCAGCCCAGAGCCAGGGATCCGTTTGTAGTTTTTTGACAACCTAGCATTTCTCTGTATGAGACCCGATAAAAACTTTTTGATTTGCACCTGGCATGCTGAAGCTGATTCTGGGGAAGCGCCATTATAGAACCGAAAGGAGGGCGGGGTCGAGGGCTGGCTGGGTGCCCCAAATGTGCTTCTTTGTGGAACTGAACTCCTGGGCGACAGGGCCATTCCTTGGGCCTGGATTTGCTTCTCCAAACAAGCGATTCACCTCCATCCAGGGAGTGAGCTGCAGGCGAGCACCAAAGCCCATCTGTCAGCGCGAAGGCCCGCTGTGGTGCAGCCTCGGCCCCTGGCCAGTACTCGTGAGGGTGGTTCAGGCAGCCAATCAGGGCAGAGCGGCTGGGGACCTCTGCTCGGGCCTCCAGTGTCTGCTTCGAACTCTGGCTGCAATTTAGAGACCGCTCCCTTTAGGTTCACGGTGCGAGGCCGCCACCTGATGGCCAGGAGGAGGATTCCTCCCGGTTTCTCGGCCACCCTTACTGGAGCGGCTGCTCTGAGTGAGTTACAGCCGGTTTCTCGCTACCGGGGCACTGTGGGCGGGCCCTTTTCCTCGCGATTGGACCGTGACGCGTTTAGGGCAGGAGCAAGGCTAGAACAGTCCCCAAAAGAAATGCTCCTAGCCAGGCATGGTGGAGCACACTTGTGATTCCAGAAGTCTGGGAGGCTGAGTCAGGAGAATCGCAGCAAGTTCGAAGCCACCCTGGACAATCTAGCAGCGAGCAACTATATCGAACGAAAATTTTAAAAGGACCAGAATGTAACTGTGAAGGCCCTGTGTTCAAATCCGCGATACTGCAAAGCAAAAACCACCTACAGAAAGTTGATAGGGTAGGGGTTTTTTTTTTTTTTTGGTTTTGGTTTTTTTTCTTTTTCTACTTTTTTTTTTTTTTTTTTTTTTTGGATAGCTGTAGTTAAAGACCGCGCACGTGAGTGTCATGGAAGAAATTTCGCCTAGTGTTTATTGTATAGGAGGAGATGCCGAGTTCTCAGACCCCACTCCTAGGGGCCCCTGCCTAGAAGCCCAGAGGAGGAAAAACCGAGTGGATCTCCTCCCACCCCAAGGTCCGAGCTCAGCAAGGCCTTCCATGCGTCAGGCGCGGGGCGCTCCCGCGCCGTGAGGGTCGCGGGCCCGGCTCTAGGGGCCCCGGCTCGGGATGCCAGTCAGTGTCTTAGCCGAGCGGAAGGGGTGCGTTCCCCACGCAGACGCCGGGGTCTCCCCGGGACTGGGGCGAGGGCTTCCTTGGTGGGCGGGGCTTCTTCAGTGGGCGGGGCCAGGGAAGCTGGGGGCCCTGGAGAGGCGAATCTTGGGGAGCTGCAGGGCGGCGTAGCGGGCGGAGTGGGTGGGGATCCCGGTGGGAGCGGGGCGGGAGCCTCTCCCTGCGGGGCGGGGCCCGGCGCGCTTTGTGCCGGTGGGAACGGGGCGCCCGCGGCTGGCTGAATGGGCTGGGGCGGGGCGGCAATTCTCCTCGCTGCGAGGGGTCCGCGCCGCGCCGCGGCGGGCTGCGACCTTCCCACCGTGGCGCCGCTGGGGACAGGGGCGGGGGCGGGGCGGGCAGCGCGCCCGGGTCCCTGAGAAAGGGGCGCGCCCCCGGAACCCTTCCCAGCCGGGCGGAGGATAGGAGGGCACCGCGCGGCGGGGCCGGGCTGGCGCGGGGCTGGGCCGAGCCTGGGCGCGCACCTCTGCAGGGCGCATTTCCCCAGGCTCACAGGTGCACAGCGCCCACCAGGCTGCCCCCGCCCCAGACCTGGAACTGGAGACCGAGAGCTCCCCGCGGTCACCATAGATGCGTCCGAAGTAGTCTCTGCATCCCCAACCAGTCCGGGGGTCCCTGGAATGCGAGGCTCGCCTGGAACTTACCAGGGGCGCCACACCCGCAGGCCAGGGCCCGGGCTCTCGGCTCGGCGGCGCGGCGCTGGCTGCGGCGCAGGGACGCTGGTGGAGCCAGGGAGATCCCCGGGGAGCAGGAGCCCTGGTGACGGGGAGCGTGAGTGGCTGGATGCCGGAGTGGGAGCCCAGGCTGCAGGGATGCAGGGGCGGCGCGGTGCCTGGGCGCCCCGCCCGAGGTGGACGCTGTCCATGGTGCTGCTCCCCGCGCTCTCGGGCGCCAGGGAGCAGCGCGGGCCGCCGCCGCCCTCCTCTGCGCTCCGCAGCAACGGGCTCACGCCGGGCAGGCAGCCGCGGAAACCGGACGGGTATTCGGCTCCGCTGGGCGCGGGCCAGAGCCCTAGAGAGAGGAAACACGCGAGAGGAGAAAAGGCGAGGAGACCGTGGGAGAGAGCAGAAGAGAAAGAAGGGCACAAGTGTGGAGAAGAAAGTCAGAGTGAGGCGCCCTGAGGACGTCCCCTGGGTGCTGAACGCGTACCACCTCTGCCAGCTGGACCCCGCCCCGCGCGATCTGGGGACCCACCGAGCTCCCTTCCAGACCCAGTCCTCCCCACCTGGGTTGCTGCGACCCGAAGCTGCGGTCCCACCAATGCCCTCCCGGTTCCCCGCCCAGCCCTTCCGGGCCCGCGCCCCCGCCCCACCTTGCAGCGAGCTCTGAAGGCTCTTCATGTACTTCACGCTCAGCTCCAGGATGTCTGCCTTTTCCAGTTTGCGCTTCCGGATCTGCGGGAGCGGGGAGGGGGGGTGTGCTTAGCCGGGCAGACCGAGGTGGGGGAGAGAGCTCGCGGGCCACCGATTCCCGTCCTCCGGCCGCGTCCCACCTGGTGCGAATAGTGTTTCTCCAGCAGAGACTTGAGCTGCTCCAATGACACGTTGATGCGCGCTCGGCGCTTCTTCTCCATCAGCGGCTTGGAGATCTGTTGGCCCACAGCATTCAGGGGTCAGGGCCCAGCCCTCGCTCTCCCCACCCCTCCAACCAGAGAAGGGATCTCCACTCAGGACTGCAGACCTTTCGGAAGCTGACGGCTGTGCCGCTGGGGCTTCCCCGGGGGGTGGGCTCCATGCCCATATTGCCACATCTGTGCCAGTGGGACAGGGCGCTGCCTTTATAGGGGACCTTAGTTTACATGTCAATGAGGCCCAAGGGGGAGGGGACTGAGGGATACACAAGGGGGAGGTCCCCACCTCCTGTTCTGGGGCCCCTCCTAGAGTCCAGGTTTCCTCTGGCCCACAGGACCTCTCCTCTCTTCCCAGGGACCTTCTGTCCCCTCTCCGTTTTTGTCTTCTCTTGCTCACGCCACTTTGCTAGCCAGGGGACCCTCGTGGGCCACCTCCATCCTACCCTGCTGGTCCCAGTCACCACGGGTTCAAGATCTCACCATAGGGTCTGCCTGTGCACTCCTCACCCCTTACTCTCAGCACCCTGGAGGGAGGTCTATGGGCCACAGCCCCTACCAGTGACTAGGACAGAGCTCCACCAGCCCATGCAGACGCCCAGGCAAGGGTGGGCCTGTGATGCTTCGATGCGTGCTTCACGCTCTGGCTGGGCTGCGACGCCACATTAGCTGCCTTAATGTGGGGACAATGCTGCGATTTTCTGCCTGTGGCTGCTCAAAGCTGGGCACGATCAGGGCCCTCTGGGGCGATGCAGCAACATGTGTCCCATTAAAGCGTGCAGCCTGCCCGCGGGGCCATGGCCAGCCTCCCCTTCCTGGGGCCTAGACATGGTTAGGATCCTAGACTTGAGGCGAATGCCCCCAACAGTGAAGGAGTGGGGTTCTACCCCTGTGGGTCTTCTCTGAGTCCCACAAACAGGCCATGGGCCTGGAGAAGCCCACTGGTACTCTGGAGAGTTCCAGCCTGACTTAGCTCTCCTGGGTCTCTTCACCCTTCTCCATTATTTGGGCCGTGGCTGGAGACCCAGGGAGTGCAGTGCAGGGAGTCCCTGGGCACGTACCCCAGGATAGGCCCGGGTCCTACAGCACTGGGTAGTGGCCTCCCTGGTCCCAGGAGGCTGGACTCTCGTAGTTGTGACTGCCAGGAAGGCTAACTCGAGGGAACTGTTCAAACCTCCACACCTCCCCGTTAGTGGGCCCCATTGGAGCTGATCTGAGGGTCTGTAACACGCATTCTGGACAGCGAGTCCTCTCTGGATGCTTGTGAGGCTGACATCGAAGGTGCAAGAGTTCAGCAGTTCAGCTCTGTGGCTGAGGGCCCATGTGGGGGAGGGGATGCCGCAGCGTCTCCTGTGGGCCCCTAACTCCGTCGCCCCGAGAGGCCTCTTCCACCCCGAACCGCCCTACCCGCATTGATGCGCCCTGGCGGGGCCGCGCGTTCCCAGGCACCAGGCAGCGTGAAGAATCGCGCCCCGCCCTCCCCCTTTCAGGCCGGTGCCTCAGCGACTGCAGCCCGGGACGTGGTCCTGCTCCCCCCTGAGGGCCCATTGGCCAGATCGGGGCCGATCCAGGCCCGGGAGGACAGCAAGGCCGAGGCCCAGCGGTGGGCGCTGGCACGCGCCGGGCGGCTTTGAAGCGCTAGAGCCGGCGGGGCGCTGCGCTCTCGGGCGCTGGTGGCAGGGCACAAAGGCGCGGCGGGGCGGCGGGGCACAAAGGGGGCAGCCGGGTGTTCAGGGCATTGTGCCGGCCCCACAAAGCGCCGCCCGCGCCCGCCCCCTCCGGGACAAACTCCGGGCGCCCCGCCGCGCACGGGCCTCCAGCTGCTGCACATCTGCCCGGAGACCCGGCGCGCGCCTCGCCCCGCCGGGTGCCCCTCCGCCCAGTCCTGCCGCCGCGGGAGCAGCGGGGCAATTTGTCTTCTAATTACCGTCCTCCCCCTTCAGTCCGGCGTGTTAGAAACCAATGAATGGCCCTGCGCGCAGCCCTCTCCAGTTAGTCCCGTCCACACCCGCCACTCGCCGCCCTGGGGCCACACTCTGCCGAGGCGGGCCCTGCGATCCCCGCCGCTCGGGGTGGAGCCGCTCACGTGGGGGCTCTGTGTTTCCCAGGCAGTGGAAAATTGACCGCAAAATGCGCTAATTCGCAATGTTCTACTTCGGCGGTGGGAGGCGGGATTCTCAGCGTCACGCTCCGCCGGGGTCCGCTTCAAGGATCTCCGCCTCCACTCGGCACGGCCCGCTGCGCCCCCTGCCCAGGCCAGGGTCTCCCCACCCGCACCGAAGCCCCCTGCTCTCAGGACCTCCCGCCGCCACCACCGGAAATAGCCGGCTCCTCGCCTCTAGGGACTGAGGGCGGTCCAGGATCGAGGCTGGAACGGACTGGGGTACCCTCGATCTTTTAAAAACTTGGGAGACCCTTTACTTCCCGCGCCCCCTCCACCGAGTCCCAGTTCGCGCCGCTTTCTCCGGGCAGCAGGTTAAAGCCAGGTATCTTTGCTTCCCTTCAAGATCAGTGGAAAAGACAGAAGTCTCCCCAGCGCCTTCCCAGAGCCCCAAGCTGGGGCTCCGTCTCCCCCCCCCACCCGCCCCTCCGCCGAGCGTCCTACCCGCAGCCGGACTCCAGAGGGGCAGAGCCGGCGGGTCGCTTTCGGGGCGCGCAGGGCGGCGGATCACCCCGTCCTCTCTGAGAGCGAACAGGACAAGGCCCTCTCGGCCGCTGGGAAGGTCGCGGACCAACTTAGTAACTGGGCTTATGCAAGCTGGGATGTAGGCCACCGCCTCTTTCCGTCTTTAGCTCCTGGGGTCCCCAAGGTGCCCAGAAAGGAGCACAGCTCCAGGAGGAGCGCGGGGGAAGCCCAGGCCCCCGCCCCTGCTCATTCAAGGAAAAATTTCCTTCAATAACCGTAAGGGTTGGCAGGCTCCCTCCTTTCTAAGACGGGGAGATGGAAACACGAGACAGCATGGAGCTTTGCATGATCGCTATGTGGCTTTCTTGACTTGGGTAAAAGAAAAAACTTTGAATTTTGGGGCCTGGAAATGAGGTGGGGAAGGACCCCAGAACAAGAGCCGCCAGATGTCCCACCTCCTGTCCCAGGTGATAGCCCCATGCAGCCTCTAGCCCATAGAAGGGGTTCATTTCTTCCTTCACCTGTGGTCATTTAAACCAGTGCTAAGTGCTTGGTGTGGTGGCACATTTCTGTAACCCCAGCGCTCTGGAGGCTGAGGCAGGAGGATCACTGGCAGCTGGAGCCTAGCTTGGGCTACATGAGTTTCAGGCAAGCCTGAACTACATAGTGAGATCCTGTTTCCAAAAATAAGGAAAAGAAAATTAAGCAGTGCTAAGTGGCGAGCCTTGTGCGAGCTACAGTAGATGCCAGAAACTGCAGGGAGAAATGTGTTCTTCCCCTGCACCCCTCCAAGATGTCGTTTCAAAGGAGTGAAGTGCTTGCCCCATGTAATTAACCATGGGGACACAGCAAAAGCCCCCAAATGACTCAAGCCATTGTCTCCAGATGGGTTGGAGAGGCTGATTGTTTAACTCTCTTTAGCTGTGTTGAGAGAGTCCTGGCAGCCAAGGACCCTTCAAGGGACAAAGGCCTGGACTGCAGAGAGTGCATCAATGCTGACCAGGCTGGCCCTGCTCTGGAAGAGACCCCCATTATTCTGGCCTTTTGTGTCTCTCTCCTACTGGCTCTAATCTTTAAATATTTACTTGGATCCTTTGTGCACATATGACTTCAGCGCTTTGGGCTGGTGTGCTTATAAATCACGCGTCATTGACCTGTTTCTAGACTGCAGAGAAGAGCCTTTCAGTCCTCTAGCCTGGGATGGCTAGGGTAAAGCAAAGCAAACTTCTGAAAAACTGGGATTATCTCCTGGGGAGAGCAGGATCCATGCTGACCTAATGCTCCTCGGGTCTGCCCGAGATGCACAGACAGGCCGAAGACCTGTGAGGAACTAGATGCCTGTAATCCCAATACCTTCGGGAGATTGAGGCAAGAGGACCACTAGGTAGAGGCCAGCCTGGACTACATAGTGAGTTCAAAGCCAGCCTAAACTATATACTGAGACCCTGCCTGAAAACAAACAAACTAAAAGCAGTGACTAAGAAGGGCTGTTCTAGCACCCTATCGGTTAGGAGGAAGGAGAGGCCAGAGCTTCCTCCTGCAGGATCTTTTTCCTGCTTGGTTGGGCTCCGATAACACCAGGACAGAAGTGAACTTTCATCCCGGGAACATACTGTGTAGATCGAGGTGCTTGATTACCCATCCAGCTGTGAGATGCAGGAATGCCTCACTTCCTCCATGCCCATGCACCTGCCCCAACTCAGCCTGGCATCCAACTCAGAAATACCCAGGTGGTCCTTAGGGCTGTCCAAGAGAGAGGAACCCACTTGGGCCCAGGAAGGAAAGTAGCTGTAGCCTGCGGTGGGCCGGCAGGCTGGGGAGGGAGGAGGAGGAGAGGGCTGCTGAGGGACCCCACTGCATGAGAAAGGGCTTCCTTTGTGCCTGCCTGGAGTGCCTAGAACAAAACATATTCAAATGCTTATTTACAAGGAAAAGCAAAAAAAGAAAAGCAAGCAAGGCCTCCCAGGACTGCATAGCTTCCCCCTTCTTTATTAGATTTTGGTGCTTGGTGCTTCCAGAGAGCTGAGTGCTCCCTGGGTTAGCTTGATCAGATTGTTTTCCTCTCTGGTGGGAAAGCAGGGGCATATGTGTGTTTCTCTCTCTCTCTCTCTCTCTCTCTCTCTCTCTCTCTCTCTCTCTCTCTCTCTCTGTGTGTGTGTGTGTGTGTGTGTGTGTGTGTGTGTGTGACAGCTTCTCTGCACACACGCATGCCTAGGTGGGCATAGCTTCACTGTTTAGCCTCTCTCCATCACTGCTCAGTAAGCCCTGGGTCCTAACAGATCTAGAAACTCCAGCAACTTTTAAAACTTCCGCCTCTTTGGGATCTCGTCCCCCATGGGAAGGGACAGCATCCCTTTTCCTTTCCAGTCTCCAGGCTGGGGCTGAGGAAGGATGTCGCTTTGGTCACACGTTGCTTTACACCCTAGGGAAAGTGGCCACAGTCTTCCAAGAGAAACCAGGCAGGTAAGCCTGAAGAGCAAACGCCCCGGGATAGAGGAGGCGCTTTTTGGGGGTGGGGGTGGTGTGTCCCATGGTCCCATGGACCAAGTTCCCTCTCGGGTGTGAAGGTGCAAGGAGCGCCCTCTACTGGCCCCGAGGCGTCCTGGCGCAGGCGGGAAAACCAGGAGAAACTGAGGACAGAGACCTGAGACCCTCTCCCAGCGCCCAGGCAGAGTTAATACCCAGGCCTCTTTAACTGGGCACCTGAAACTCGGAGACTGGTTTGCAAAACATTCTCTCTCCAATTTCTAACACCCACGTTTAGCAAAGGTCTCCTGGGGACCATTTCAACAGGATTCTGGGCTTTAGGGAACAAATACCGACCCATACCGGTGGAAGCAGGGCACTCATGTTACAGAACGCAGAAGTTCATGGAATTGAGTTTTCGAGGTCACAAAGCTTGGCTTCGGCGCGTGGCAGACCCCATCCACGTGCCGGACACCAGGCCCCGCAAGGACAGCAGAGAGGCCTGGGGCTGGATGCAGGATTCACTCTGCTGCATCCACTGCCCTCCATCCTGTCCCCACCCTACCTCAGCCTTTCCAATTCAGCCCCCATTGCCAGCAGCAGGGGCTGCCAATCCCCCAGGGCCTCAGGGCCTGGCTCAGCGTCTTCTCCATGCAGCCCGGTCTCCTTGCTCAGCCGGTGCTCGGCTTCCCTCCCTCTCCACCCTGCGGTTTATTCCAGCCGTTCCTTACTTGCCTTTCTCCTCCTCTACAGCTGACTCCCTGGGGGTAAGGACAATTAGGGCAGGAAGGGTAGAGGCAGATCAACTGGCACAATCTTACTGTTTGATAAGAATACAGTCTGGGGTCTTATGACTTGGAGGTGAAGATAATACCTCAAAATATTGTAGATAGGAGGCAGGAATTTGAATGTATTCACCATAAAAAATAAGTTTATTTAATTTGCTGTACTGGGGAGTGAAGCCAGCAAGTGCTGGGCTACATCTCCAGCCCCTTTTACATTTTTGAGACAGGGTCTCGCTAAGTTGCCCAGGCTAGCCTCGGACTTGCCATTTTCCTGCCTCAGCCTCCCGCGTGGCCAGGATGAGAGACGTTGAAAGTGGTGAGTGTGCCCCTAAAGGCATTAAATCATGGAGGGTGACCTTTGCATCATTTCCCCAGGTTCACGTGCATGCTACTTTTCAAGTGACAACAGGAGCGCATCGTGAAGTTTTGCGTTCTGCTTTTGCTAATCCCGCAGCACACCCTGACCTCTTCACCGTCCTCCCGCGGCCTCCCAGCCCGGGTTTAATCAAGTGCTCGCGTGGACGCCCGGGCGTCCCAAACACCGCGGAACCCGCTCGCGCCTGCGCACTGAAGGAGGGGCGGGCGTGACGCAGGGGCGGGGTAGTTCCTAAGCTCCAGTTGTTTATCCGAACTTTCTTAAGTTTGGGGCCCGCTTCTGCAAGTCACCTTCGGCGACTCATCAGACCTAGCTCCGGGTCTCCGGGGACAAATCGTCCCAAAGGAGCAAGAAGGGCGGGGCCAGCGGGGCGGGGACGGAGGGGCGGGGCCAGATGGGTGGGGCGGGGCGCTGTTGCCAAATTCGGGCCGCGGGTTGCGCGTGCTGGTGTTCTCGCGAGAGCTCGCAAGCGGCGCGCAGTTCCGGGCAGCTCCCTTCCCGGCCAGCGTCAGCGGAGCAGTGCGCAGGCGCAGCCGGCGGGTTTCCCGGGCTACCGTCTGAACCAGCTAGTCCGCCGCCGGCTGGTCCGACCCCCTGCGCCATGGCTGGCTGCGCGGCGCGGGTTCCGCCGGGCTCCGAGGCGCGCCTCAGCCTGGCCACCTTTCTGCTGGGCGCCTCGGTGCTCGCGCTGCCGCTGCTCACGCGCGCCGGCCTGCAGGGCCGCACCGGGCTGGCGCTCTATGTGGCGGGGCTGAACGCGCTGCTGCTCCTGCTCTACCGGCCGCCGCGCTACCAGGTGCGGGCAGGGCAGGGGTTGGGGTCGGGACTGGGCAGGCGAGGGCTGGGGGCTCAGGATAGGGATCGCCCTGGTAAGAGCCTGGGTCCAGATTGGTCTCGGGACCCGGCAGGTAAGAGTTCGGGTCGGGGTCGAGGCCGGGCAGGGGTCCCACGCGGCCGCCCAGCGCTTGGCCACCTGTTCTCGCGGGTCCAGGACTGCCTTACACAGGCGTGTTCCTCAGGTCGCTGAGCGACCCCGCCTCTCCCGGCCGTGGGTGTTAAATTGCAATTCGTGCAGCTCGGCAGCTGCGGCAGATGCGCAGGGGGTGGCAGCGAGCGCGCCCACGAGGTCGTTAATGTGAGGTGTGGCGTTTCACCTGCCGCCAGGTCGGAGGTCAGAGGCCCGGGTTCTTGGTGGAGGCTTGGCACTGAGCTCCGGTGTCCCTACTACAGTCGCTGATTTGGGAACATCGGCCCAAGCCGGACAAACTTTAAGCAGTTTCTCCACAGTCCTGATAGTAACGGTAATTGTGATTGCAGCGACAAAGTAGGCACCAGTTATGCACAGGTGGATCTCGCAGCAGTCCTAAAAGGCGGGAATGATTGTTACCCTGCGGTGTGGATGCGCACACCGAGGTCCAGAGTGTTGCACTACAAGCCTCCCCCATCGTAGCCACAGGGGTCTGGTGCAGGATTTGAACCCAGGTAGCCCCACTTTTCTGTCTTAGGGGCTGCCTTTGCTTGCCAGTGACCTACTTATCCCAGGAAGGTCATCGGGCCGGTGACTGGGCTTCTTTGGGTCCGTTTCAGATAGCCATCCGAGCTTGCTTCCTTGGCTTCGTGTTCGGCTGCGGCGTGCTGCTCAGCTTTAGCCAGTCCTCTTGGAATCACTTTGGCTGGTAAGAAGTCCTGGGGGTGACGGTGCTGAGGCGAGGGTGGACAGTGCAGACGGTCAGTAGTGGCATTTCCTTGTCCTTGTCTCTCATGTCTGATGGGCAGGCAGAAGGCTGTTGAGGGTCCCTTCTGTCTTCCACTGAGTTGCCCACAGTTCGGGCTTTGCACGCTCGTACCCACTGGTTGACTCTGTTGCAGACAAACAGGTCTCCCTGGCACTCTCCCCAAAGGTGCCCTCACAGCAGCTGCTGGGACGGCATTCAGTGAGGTGCCCAGCCCTTCCCGGAAGGGGGTGCAGGTCCTCGGTGACGGGAAGGGACGAGACTCTGGCTGGCCTCCCTAAGCCTTTTCCATCTCCAATTTCTATTAGGTCACGGCTAGTGCACCCCCTCAGCCACAGTAGGATTTTCCCCTACACTATGATTTCAGTCCCTTGAGCCTTCTAGTCTGACCTGGATATGAACCATGGCTTCAAGGTAAAGAGCTTTATCTCCTATTATCAGTATGCTGAGCCATCTAATCCTTCTTTGCTGAAATTATTTTATGAGTTTTGTTGAATTTTGTTTCCAACATACATCACTACTTTATGTTGCTATTTCTCTCTTTCATTTTAAAATGTATATTTGTCATTTTACAAGGACTTAAAGGCCTGTAATATCTCCTTCACCTATGGAGATTATCTGAGGTTGTTTGAGGTTTTTTTTTTTTTGGTCTGTGACATTCAAAATCATGACAACTCCACTCCACTTTAAAAACCCCACTTTCTGGGCCCGGGATATAGCTCAGTGGCACAGCGCCTGCCTGGCAAGCATGAGGTTGTGAGTTTGAATCCTGGTACCAAAAAACAAAAATAAACCCCACTTTCTGCCAATCAGAGGGAATCAATGTTTTGCATCTGGGCTCCTGATGTCCCCACAGGCGGACGTTGTCGTAGAACTAGGGACAGCTCAGATCCAGGTCTGCTCTTACCTCCCGTCTGGCTAAGTGGGTTCCCTTGCCCCAGTTCACTGCCGTTTCTTTTTGAATAGGTATGTGTGCTCGCTGTCATTGTTCCACTATTCCGAGTACTTAGTGACAGCTGTCAATAACCCCAAAAGCCTGTCCTTGGATTCCTTCCTCCTGAATCACAGTCTGGAGTACACCGTCGCGGCTCTTTCTTCTTGGATAGAGTTCACGCTTGAAAATATCTTCTGGCCAGGTTAGTGTGCCCCACTTTCCCTGCTGGAGCCAGCTGCCTGCCTTGCATGCCGAGGACGGTGACATTGTTTCACCTTTCAGGCCTAATCTCCCCTGAGCGAGTGTCCCCAGCCCTCTGTTGTCCTCGCTAAGCTATTTATAAAAGACAGGCTCCACTCGAGAATTCCACTTCTGGATTTTGAATCGGGGCCGTGTTGCCCTTCTGCTTTAAGCCTTGTATAACCTCACGTGCCATCTCAAGTGACGTCCCCATGATGGATGTGACCCTGAATCTTCATTTTCCGCAACAGGAGAAATTGCACATGATTTTTTTTTTTTTGTCTTTTTCATTTTTATCGGTACCAGGGATCGAACTGACGACTGCCTGCTTGCAAGGCAGGCACTTATGCCGCTGAGCTAAATCCCCAGCCCCATATGATGTTTTTATTAGCAGAAACTTTTGTACCTGGAGCCCACTCAAACTTCCCACAGCTGAAAATAACGGCTGTGGCTCCCAGTATTCCTGGTGGAAACCCACTCCTTTCTCTGCCTTTCTCACTTGTGTTTGTCCCCAAGAGAAGAACATAAGCCGGTGACTGGGGAGGAGAGCCAAGCACCTGTCAGCCTGCGAGGGCGGTCTCCTTTGCGGGCAGCACTTTAAACGGATGAACAGCAGCTCTTGGCTCCAAGTTCCCTTTTTCAATTGTAAAGATTTGAAAGTGCTGACAAGTGCTCATTGTCCCTGGGCATGCTTTCTTTTTATTTTTGGTCTTTTTGAGACAGGGTCTTGCTATGCAGTTCAGGCTGGCCTTGAGCTCACTTTGCAGCCCAGGCTGGTCTCAAATTTGCAGCAGTCCTGCAGAGTGCTGGGATGACAGGCATGTGTCACCATACCTGTCTCACCTGGGCATGTTTTCTGATGCTTCTGTCTTGAGGAAATCAGTGCCCTGTGAGCGGGGCAGGGGCTGGGCAGTCCCGAGTCTCAGTCCCTTCCTGTGGTCCCTGTGTCTCTGCAGAGCTGAAGCAGATCACCTGGCTCAGCGCCACAGGGCTGCTCATGGTGGTCTTTGGTGAGTGCCTGCGCAAGGCTGCCATGTTCACGGCCGGCTCCAACTTCAACCACGTGGTGCAGAACGAGAAGTCGGACACCCACACCCTGGTGACAAGCGGGGTGTATGCCTGGTTCCGGCACCCTTCCTACGTGGGCTGGTTCTACTGGAGTATTGGGACCCAGGTATGGTGTCCGAGAAGACACTGGCTGCCTTGGGTTTTAAGTTGAAGTACAGCTGCTACGCTGCAAAATTCACATTCAGAAGCTACAATTCCGCCTCCTTCCTGCTTTTACAGGGTTCCTGGTCTCCTTCGCCCTGTGCTCCTTGGCATGTTTGATTCACTCATTCATACGTTCATTTATCTTTTTTTTTGATACCAGGGATTGAAGTCACGGCCTCACATTTGCCAGGCAAGGGCTTGTACCGCTAAGCTGTACCCCTGGCCCTATTTTGTGTTTTAATTAATTAATTGATTTAGACAGGGTCTTGCTATGTAGCTGTTTTTTATTTGTTTGTTTGGTTTTGTTGTCTTTCTGAGACAGGGTCTCACTACGCAGTTCAGGCTGACCTTGTAGCCCAGGCTGGTCTCAAACTTGCAATGATCCACCTGCCTCATGCCTCCCGAGTGCTGGGATTACAGGAGTGTGTTACCATATGTAGCTATTTTTTTTTTTTTAATCGGTACCGGGGATCGAACTCACGACCACCTGCTTGCAAGGCAGGTGCTTATGCCGCTGAGCTAAATCCCCAGCCCCCAATGTAGCTGTTTTTTGAGACTGGGTCCCATTATGTAGCCCAGGCCAGGCTGGCCTCAAACTCAGAGCGATCCTGGCTCAGCCTCCCGCATGCTGGGATTATAGGCATGCTGAATAAATTTAGTTCTTAAGGTTTTTACCACGCACTTGCAATGTGGGCACTGTACGTATAGCCCTGGTGACTGTTCATGCTACCACCCCCTCCTGTACCCTTTCCCTGCCTCTTAGTTTTGCCACAGAGCACCCCAAGGGGAAGACAGGACTGTGGGAGGCCGGGCCCTCAGCCACTCCTGGGCGGCTCAGTGGGTTTGTATGAGAAATTGGTCTTCTGAGGGCGGGGCCCCAGCTTAGGCCAATGAGCTCCAGGGGACTTCTGTCCTAGGGTGCAGGCCAAGCCCTTGTTTTTTTTTTTTTTTTTTTTTTGTCTTTTTGAGACAGGGTCTCGCTATGCAGTTTAGGCTGGTCTTGAGCTCACTTTGTAGCCTAGGCTGGCCTCAAACTCACAACGATCCTCCTGCCTCAGCCTCCCGAGTGCTGGGATTACAGGCCTGAGCCACCACGCCCCGCCAAGCCCTTGTTCTTGATGTCAGGCTCTTCCTTCTGTATCCTTGGATTCTGGAAAATTTAGTCAGGGAATGTGAGCTGAGTTTGGACCATTTATCCCTTTGGGGAAGAGCCAGCCAAGGTCCCTGGGACCCCAAGGACTTCTGGTGCTGTGTAGTAGGGACAGATAACCACACAGCATCTCTTTTCAAAGTTTTGTATTTTTAGCTGGGTGTGGTGGTGCATGCTGTAGTCCTAGCACTTTGGGAGGCTGAGGCAGGCAGGAGGCTCACAAATTGGATTGCACTTAGCAAGACCCTGTCTCAAAATAAAACATGGAAAGGGCTAAGGGTGGAGCTCAGTGCAAAGGCCCGGGCTTCATCCCGGATGCCACACACCCATGTGCACGCGTGCACGCACACACACACAGTATTAGCACTTAGCAGTCACATTCCTGAGACTGAATGGATTATGGCCCGTGGATGTGATTTGCTCCAAAGGCTTGCTGACCATGAACCTTTTGGGCCATAGTTGTTTGCGACATTGTGTCCAGCAGCTGTGTGTATACACGCAGCTCGCCTGCCCTGTACCAACCCTTCCCTGGCCTTCTGCTTTATCTCTGTCTTCCCCAGAGCACTGCCCACGGCACCAGACTTCCTGGCTGAGAAGCAGTGTTCAGCCTGGGACTGGCATGTGTGTTCTCAAGCAAGGCCCCCCCAGGCATCACCGGCCAGGGCTGTCCTCGGTCTGGTGCTTGCTGCTGGGTCTCTTCCCTCTCAGGTTATAGGGCGGTGTGGCAGCTGCTGCAAGCTCTGTTGTGGGGTGAATGGCTCACAGTTTGAAGGGCTGGGTGCGGTGCTGGGACAGCGCACCACAGAGAGAAGGCGGGTATGTTCCTAGTTCTTGGGTAGACGTGCTCAGTCAGGGAGACACCATCTCCAGGGGACAAGTCCTTGGTGCTAGCAGTGGGCAGGGTGCTTCACAGGTGCCCCAGCAGCACAGGAAGCTTCTAAGGAGCAGGGCTGCTCTGGGCCTTGACAAACTGTGGCTTGACTCACTGGGGAGAACTTGGAGAGTCCAGGAGGTGAGGGCCGGGTACAGGGAGGCGGTGGGGGAGGAGGGCGGCCACTGAGGTGAGGCCTGGCTGGATGAAGGCAGTACAGCTGTCTGGGACTGAGCAGCCTGTGGAGGAAGGTTCCGGAAGCTCACCTGGACCTCCCGAATCTGATTCTGGGGCCAGAGGCAGGATAGGCGCGTCTGTGGACGGGGACCCAGGAGGAGCCCTGTGAGAGGGAGTCGCACTTAGCGAGGAGTCCTTCACCTGACCCAAGGGCTGGAATCCAAGAGGTCAGTCTTAGGGCTGTTCCCTAAGAGGAACAACAGAACAGCAGGAAAGACCCAGCGCCACAGTGATGCAGTGGCCTGAGTTCGGTTAGTGACTCCCTGGCTCCCACAGACCCCGAGTTCTGAGTCTCCTGTACCCCTGGAGAGAAGTCCTGTAGGTGTTAGAGACAGGTGCCGCTGGCCATGCTGGCCCGTGCCTGTCCTCCTCACACCCAGGAGGCTGAGGCAGGAGGATGGCCACAGGTAGAAAGAGACAGGTGTGTAGATACTGGCTCACTCCAACCCCGGCCACTCACTGTCTTCTGTGCCAGGTGATGCTGTGTAACCCCATCTGTGGGGTGGTCTACGCCCTGACCGTGTGGCGCTTCTTCCGAGATCGAACCGAGGAGGAGGAGATCTCACTCATCCACTTCTTCGGAGAGGACTACTTAGAGTACAAGAAGCGGGTGCCCACGGGCCTGCCTTTCATCAAGGGGGTCAAGGTGGAGCTATGATGGGCGGGGCCAGGTGGGGCCGACCTCAGGGACTGCGGCGCTCTGGTCGGCCACTGCAGGACGGATTTTCTTAATAATTTTTTATGTCACTAATTACTCCTCCGGAGCATCACCCAAGACCACACGGTCAGGAGGCCTTAGGACCCAAAGCCCCGCCGGAGCAATCTCGAGCTGAGCCCCGGTCGGGGTAGGTTTCTGAGGAACATGAAGCAAATCACAGCAATATTCATCAGTCCCGCTTTCTAGGCGGCCAGGTGAGGACCCGAGCCTCGTGGCAGTGCCCTCAGCCACCGTGTGTGTGCCTGGTGTTGGGGTTCCCTCAGGAGCGAGGGGCCTGCCTGCCTGGCTCAGCAGGGTCTGCTGCTGAGGGCAGCGGGGTACCTACTCGGCAGCATTAAAGATGCACTGAAAGCCCTCATGTCACCGAGAAGCACCGCAGCACGGCTGTAACCTCCAGTGTCCTCCAGTGCATGCACATCTGTATAAGCTCAAGTCCCTGCCTCCTGGCACTTTGCTCCTCGTGCATTTAACTGTATCCACACTCGTTTTTGATCGGTAGCAGGATAAATGTAAAGGGGCCCCTGGGGGCTTTCTAGGTCCAGCTTGTATTGGTCAGCAAGTGAGCACAGACCCCTGACACAGTTCAGCCGGTAGCTTTAGGTGACCGTGGCCCCCGTGTGCTTTCCCCAGGTCCTGACCCCTGCTCTTTTCCTGTTGCCGGTGACAAGTGGGTCACAGATGAGCCATTTTCCCTTGACCCAGGAGGCACTTGCGGGATGCAGACACCGCTGAGCAGTGTGAAATTCCCCGCTGTCCATTTACGCGGGCTTCTGTCCTGCTGTTCCTACAGCTCGTGTTTCTGTGTCTCTGTCCATCTATCCAGCATTGGGCTCTGGGTTCTCCTCCTCCCCAGTGCTGGTTCAAGCTGCCTTTCCCAAAGGGCTCCAGCATAGACCTGTGTAGGCACACCCCCTCCTGAAAAGAACCTTAAATAGAGCCCACCAGCCGGGCTGAGGTTCTGTGTCAGCTCGGCCCCACATTGTGGGGAGAGGAATCACCTTTGTGAGGCAGACTGAGACCTGGGTGTCATCCTTGGTGAATCCTGGACCCGAAGAGAACATGGTCTTGGTGTTAGGTCTTCCTGAGCAGCTTTGCAGGAGCACAGGTGAGAGTGCCATTGGCCTGTAGGCCTCCAGCGCACCATGGCTTTTGAGGGGCTGTCAGACCCTTCGTGGGTAGCCTCTCATCTGCAGGACGGGCCTGTGCCGCCTACCTCACAGGGCTGTTGTGAGGACTTAGGGTACTAGTGTCTGGTATTAAGCAAACTCGACACAGTGTCATCGTGTGGCGTAAAAGCATGCAGGTGGGCCAGCTGGTTACCTGCACAGGTCCCTAAGGTGTATTTAAAGAGGGTTTTGCCAGCTAAGAAACATCCCTCATCTCTAGATTCCTTGGCTTAATTTTCTCATTGTTCTGTATACCAAAGAGGCTCAAGGGATAGGTCGATTGTCAGCATTAGCCTTGCTGGCTTGAGAGCTGTCGGCCCTGGTTACCTCAGAGGGGCTCACAGACCCGAGTCCTTGGGGAGCCAGGCCAGGGGGACATCAGATGCATCATTCATTCTTGGGATGGGAGTCAAATTGGTGCCCAGCTCCCCCAAACCACAGATACTGAGCAGCTGTTGCTCAGCAGGCCGTAGTGGCGCAGGTCAGGTCAGGACTGGCAGTCTTGGGCACTCTGAGGGGACATTCTTCCCGCCCGCCTGCACCCTAGTGGGGCTGGCGTCTGTGTTCCCTGGGGGTGAGGCCGTGAAGTTACCTGTTTTGATGGATGGGGAGCAGCTGATGACGGCCCCTGGCATTGTGTGTGCGTGGTGCGGCTGGGTGTTGCCATCTGATGCCAAGCTCCATCTGCCAGAGGCCAGAAAGCAAATCTTCACGCAGACCTAGGAGTGAAGGAGCCCAGGCCTTGGGGTTTTGCAGGGGCGTGGAGAAGGAGGACGTCCATCCTTACCCTGGTGATGGCCCCAGCACAGCTCTGCTCCCCATCAAGTGGAGAGTTAAATGGGGAGCAGGGCCAACATGAAGTGAAACCCTGGGGATGCAGACAGCTTCTGGAGCCCAGCAACACCCCCGGGCTGGTGGGACGGGACGGTTGACCCGGTCCGGCGCCTTGGACCCTTCTCTGCACTTTCTCGCGCTGCCTTAGGTAGCTTCAACCCCACACTGTACTTCGCTTCCGCTTGCGTAGCGGCTCGGCCAGATTAGGTGACCTCAGCCTCTCTGTCCTGGTGGGAAGGGCGGCCCCACCCCAGAGAGGGACTTAACAGAGTAATTCTTCTACTCTTCTGTTTACATACAGAAATGTTTATTTAAATATTTTAAATTGGATTTTCCTTCACAGATACTGATGATTCTTCCCAGTTCTTAAATCAATAAAGTGAAATATTTGATTTCACTGTGAGCAGCAGTGTGGTCGTATGGGGTGCAGGAGATCACTGGTGAACCGGTGTCTGTACCTGGCTGGTCTGGGACACTGGATTCCCTTCCCCTTTGGCTGCATGCAGGGCTTTGGTGCTTTGGGGGTGCTTTGAGGGCCTCCCTCCCTGTGTGCTGTTGAGACAACCTAGTTAGACCCGATGTCTGTTTAATGTGCCCTAGTGTGGGAACAGTGGCTTGGAACCTGAGGCTGTGGGGTGACCCTGTGCCACCTGGCTGCCAGCAGCTTTCCTGGCATCCTGAGCTCTGGCCTGCTATGAGCCCCTGCTCAGGTCACTGGGTGGGACCTCAGGCACCAGGCCAGCAGGTTCAGGTTCAGCTGGGTTTCACAATCCGGCAGATGCTGCACGGTGGCAGAGGAGTCTCATGCTGGTGGCTGAGCCTGGATGCCTGATGCAGGTGCAGAACCATGTGGGGCTATTACCTGTGTGTCCACTCCTTGGACTGGGAAGGCACAGGGTGGGATTGGGGCTGTGGTAAGGGCCAGGACTTCATGTTAAGGGGCCATGGAGCAGTGGAGCAGCCTACAGTCTCCGGAGTTCAATGGTCAATTGCTACCTTTTAAAGAAATAGGCAGCTGGGCGTGGTGACACACACCTGTAATCCCAGCCCTCAGGAGGCTGAAGCAGGAGGATTGCAGTGAGTTGGAAGCCAGCATGTGTCAGGCCAGCCTGAACTACATAGACCTCCAAAAAAAAACAGCTGTGGCTGTGGCTCGCTGGCAGGAGCCCTCGGGTTTGATCCCTGGTATTGCAAAAGGAAAAAAAGTTAAGGGGACAGTTTAAGTGGTCGTGAGGGTGCGATTCCCTGCTAAGCCCCAGCTGGGGACATCGGCCCCGCTCCTCCACTTGGATCTGAGATGACTTCTTCTCTGCACCATGGCCTCTTCTGGGGTGATGCTTAGGATGCAGCCACTGTTTTGGGGTTGCAACATCTCTTTGTTTTGGAACTGGGGATCGAACTGCTAACCTTGCATTTGCCACTGAGCTAAATCCCTGGTCTCATCTTCTCCCTCTTGTCTGTGGCATCCCCGGATCATTCCTAAGGCAAGCTGAACCTGAGCAGGTCTGCTCTCCCAGTGTGGAGCCTTTGGGGGCCCAGGAGACCCAGGCCCTACCGAACCCCATCAAGGATTCTTACTGTGGGCAGGGCACTCCACCCCTGGAGACGGGTGCTAACCGCCCAAATAGCAGCCCCCCCACACACACAACTGAGCTTTGACTTGCACTCCCAGGAGCCCCTGAGCCTTGTGTGTGGGGATCTGCCCTGCACCCACTGCTGTGATCTAGGCAGATCAGCAGCTTCCAAACTATGATGCCAACCCCGCATGCTGTAATCGCCCTACCCAGAAGGCTGAGGTGGAAAGAGCTCAGAGCTGGAGCAGCCTGAACCTCCAGATGGGTTACTGCATACTCTGCCAGCCCTGGCAGGTATTTCCAGAAATGCCGCCCCAGTGAATAACACTGTTTACACTCCAGGGCAGTACTGACCACCACAGCCTTCATTGCTGTGCAGGGGTCCCGCCAGACTCACACTGTCATCTAGAAAGTCGCTTTACAGAATGAGGCCCCTGGCTCACAGAGCGGAGCTTTGCAAGGGCTGTAGAGCCCCCAGGCTTCCTGAAATCAGATTACTCACTTTACCTGGCCCCACCTGGCCTTTCCTGCTGTCTTCATACAAGTTGAGATTCTCTGACACCTGATTCACAGGGGCCTGGAACCTGGGTGGGAGGAAGCTAGGATTATAGACAGCTAAGCCTGGGCAGGGTCGGCCCTCGAGGGACAGCACAGGGATGAAAACACACACACAAAATAAACATTACAACTGTGGCCTAGCTCAGCACACCTGTAATCGCAGCACTCGGGAGGCTGAGGCAGGAGGATCTTCCTGGGCTACAGAGTAAGCTCAAGGCCAGCCTGAGGGGCATAGTGAAACCCTGTCTCAAAAAGACAAAAAGCAAAAAACCCCAACTGTGGCCAACCAGGGCTGCATCTGTGGAAGAACAGGCATCAAGATAAAGACAAAATGCCAGGCCTACACACCTCCTTGGGCAATGGACAGTGGATGGACATCAGTCTCCCTAGTGGATGGCCAGAACCCCCGATTTGTCTTTTCCTAAAAAGGCTTTGTTATTTCTGGGTACACTTGCTGTGTGACCTGCTTCCTCGTTGGGTCAGTATCACCTAGACAGCTAAACTCGTAATCATATTGGTTGTTCTCAGTTTGGTCCTGCATTGTACCCACTTCGTGATTTTGCCCTATAAAACTTCCTCTGTACAGTGGGGTCCATAGCAACCTGCTCGGGACCCCCATTTCTCAGGAGTTATTTTTTATTCTCCAGTGAATTTTCCTACTCTTGTTTGGTACTGGGAATCAAACTCATGACCTTGTGCTTGCCAGACAGGCACTGTCACTGAGCTCTATCCCTGGCCCCAAATTTTCCTGCTCTCATTTTTTTTTTTTTTTTTTTTTTGTACTGGGGACCACACTCACACCAGGCAGGTGATTACGCTGCTTAGCTAAATCCCTGGCTCCCCAGATTTTCCTACTCTTAACCTCTATTATTCTTCAGGATTCATTCTTCAGTTTTGGGGCACACAGCAGGTGGTAGATGGGACATCCAGCAGGTTGAGAATTACATTTATTTCCCCCACTTACAAGGAGCTTCTGTATGGCCTTGGGCTCACTGCACAAAAACCCAACTGAAAGCTAGGCGTGGTGGTGCCCAGCACTCAAGAGGCTTAGGCAGGAGGATCAACAGGAGTTTGAGGCCAAGCTGAGCTACACAGTTCAAAGCCACCCTGGACTACACAGTGAGAGCCTGTCTCAAAAAGCAATATTGAAGAAAGTATCTAGTGCCCTCTTTTGGTTTTGGAATATTTACCAGGGTCCAGCAGCTTGCCAGGGCCTGGTAAGCCACCAGCTGTGGCATTGGACAGTGGAGGCCAGGTCTGACCAGGAAGATACCACAGGCAGAAAGCTCATCAGGGCTTGTGGCAGAAAGTGACAATCACCAAGATCTTCATGGTCCAGGGTGCTCTGGGGCCTCTCTGGTGACACCGGCTGGGACCAGAGTCATGAGAATGCACAGGGCACCAAAGTAGGAAGCTTTCAGGCGGAGGCATGGACAGGGCCAGACCAGCTCCCTTAGAGGACTAGGAGGTCATGGTGGCCAGGGGTGGTGCCCAGGAGGACTGTGATGACAGCAGGCTTGGAAGAGGCCACAGTTGTGTGGCAGGCTGCAGGGGCTGTGGGCGGTCGGCTGTGGTGGGCTGGGATTGGAGGTTCCAGTGGAAAGCACCCAGGTGGCCTGAAATGGAGTTTAGTCCACAGGACAGAGGGACAAACGGGATAAGGAAAGGAGTCAGGATGTCTCCCGGGCTTCTTGCCTGAGTGCACACAATGCCATCTGCCAGGATGAGCTGGCCCAGCTGAATGAGGTGGCACAGAGATTCCAGCCCCTGATGAAGCTGGTGCTGCAGAGATGCTGAGGCAAGGACACTGGGAAGGAGGACCCTGGAGGGCAGTCCAGCACAGGGTGGGAGGGCCTGGGGGTGTCTGCAGTGTGACACGGCCACCGAGGAATGGGCTAAGATCTGCACAGCTCTGTGCTAGTGTGTGGGTATCATGTGCCAGGCCCATGAGCTCAATCAGTGGCACCAGAAAGAGAAAAGATAAGAAAAGCCAGGGAACTAGATCAAGTCACTTCAGGAAAAGAAGCCAGAGGTGGCATTGCACTTCTGTAATCCTAGCCCTCTGGAGGCTGAGGCAGGAGAATTGCCATGAGTTCAAAACCAGCTATGTAAAGCTTGGTGCAGTGGTCCACGCCTGTAATCCCAGTACTTGGGAGGCTGAGGCAGGAGGATCATTGCAAGTTTGAGACCAGCCTGGGCTACATGGTGAGTGCAAGGCCAGCCTGAACTGCATAGAGAGACCCTGCTTCTCGGGACCAACCCCAGGAGTCCTCTCTGCTGTGACCACCTCCTGAGGGCTGCACCCTAACAGCAGGCTCTGAGAGCAGAGCCCTCACTGCAGTGGTGGTTTTTGTAAAATTTTAGACACAGGATCTCACCACAGTTCACCATGGCAATATGGTGATCCTCCTGCCTCAGTGTCCCAAGTGCTGGGATGACAGATCACACCCAGCTTCTGACCAAGTCTTTTGCGGATGCCCAGCATCTGGTCTCTGAACCCTCGTGACCTGGCCCACTGACTTCCCAAATCAGTGGCCCTGAGAACACCCTCTGGCCTTGCCTGGACTCCAGCCGCTCCTCCCCCTTGGCGATGGAGCACAAGTAGGGTCTGATCTGCCTGGCAATGTGGTGGGACAGGCATTCTCCCTTTCAGCGGAAGAGGCCAAAGAGCCCCATGGCCTCTGCGGTCATCTCCAGTGAAGTGTGAGGCACGGGGGGAGGTGCTTCACTTACTGAATCCTGTGGTTGGCTCCGGACAGGGCTGGTGGGGGCAGGGGAGGCCATGCCCAGGGCTGAGGGGCAGGGCAGGGTGTGACCTGGTCAGTGGCTGCTGACTCCCTCCCTATTAAGGCTCAGGGGTCAACACAAGGCTTTGCCAGGTGCCCAGTTGCCTGGGACCTTCATAAATCTCCTGCTCAGGGGCTGGGGATTTAGCTCAGCGGCATAAGCGCCTGCCTTGAAAGCAGGCAGTCGTGAGTTCAATCCCCGGTACCGATAAAAAGAAAAAAGACAACAACAAAAAAAAAAGTGGAAAAAAATAAATCTCCTGCTCAGTAGCCACTCTCTGGTAGGATACCTCCTACAGCTGGAAGAGAAAAGCGGGACACTGCAGTGGCACTGAGTGGCAGTTTCCACTGGTGGCACTGGCGCCACGGACTCCGAGAGCTGTTTAGTCCCAGCTGCCTCCATGTGGGTCCTGGTGGCAAAGACCCTGGGTTTCAGAAGCTGCCACATTGGGGGAGAGGCCTCTTGAGCCTCCCTCTGG